CTTTGGCAGACGCACACGCAATGTGCCTCCAAGAAGGCAGCAACAACAAAAATCCATACGAAAAGTAAAAAAAATACCACAACAACGAAGTCAACTTAGAATCTAATCGTTTATTGAACTCCCGAGTCAAACCAGAAATCGAACATAATACGCATACGCAGCGTGCGCCGCCCCATGAAAGCGATTGAAGTCTACGATTTTTCGGTAAACTGGAGCAGACAGTGTCCAACTGTGTCGCTCTGCTGGCCCGCTGGCGGCGTTGAGAGCTGGAAATTACGACCTCAGGCCCCCTTTCGATCCCATACGATCCAATACGGCGCGATCCGATTCACCACCCCCCGCAGGGCTCTAGATTTCGATTAGGAGGCCAGCGACTACAGTGTGGGAAAATCATGATTAATCTGAATACTGTATTAATTAGTATCTTTTAGAGCTACCTTATTAAGTCCCATAAATTCGTATCCCAAAGATTTAAAATGGATTGTTAAGATACTTAAGTTAGGAACTACTTTTAGGTACAATAGATTATAATTTTTTCAGTTCAAACTAATGTTCAGTATTAAGTTATTAACATATATATTTACTTCAATTAGTATCTTTTAGAACTATCTTATTAAATCCCATAAATTCGTATCCCAAAGATTTACAATGGATTGTTAAGATACTAATAGTTAGGAACTACTTTTAAAATACTGTAGATTATCATTTTTTCAATTCAAAGTAAAGTTCAGTAGGAGAAGTATCATTTGCATGGTAACATTGTTAGGTTTTTACTATAAAATATATATATACTTCAAGAATTTTCTTGATCATTATACAATATGAAATATACCTTTTCTATACCATAATTTCAAGAACGTTTTATAGCTTTAATTACAACCTTTTTTTCGGTGTAACCGTATATGCATATGGATTATGCTGGGGGAGTAGGAAGTTGATGTGCACGTTTCGTTGAAATATGAGTAGCTAAGTGACTTTATCACGGTGGCCCCTAACCAAACCGAACCCAACCAAACCGTACAAAACCAAGTCGAGTAGAAGAGAAGTGTGGAGACTGGCGCCATTGATTCCATTGCATTCATTCCCATGAACTTGGAGTGAATGCAACTCCCACGCTTTAAAGTAGCTCGTTTGGGATATTTGTCACGTCTTTGTTGCGGCTTTGAATGGTCGCTTTCCTAGAGGAAAGTCGCTTCAATTTCATAGGTCTAATTCAGCCCTATTCTGTTCTTTTCTCTCGAAAGTTTATTTACGAGCCCAGAGCGTGTGGTGTCTGCTTGGAATTCCATAATGGTTTGGGAACAACTAGTACTAATGGTCTTGACTGGGGGCTTAAAAGCTTGTTTATTCAGCTAAAGTATTTCCATTATATATAGTAACAAAACAATTCTTCTTTTTACAACATTGTTGAGACTGCAATTCCGAGTTGCACAGCAATTTCAACATTATTTAATAAGCATGAGGGCGTAGCCGGCAGGTTAACTGCTTAAAAAACTAACAAAAATCGAAGGCAAATTGTCAGTTACTACTGTGTAATCAGCCGAACAATAGCAACAATCATGGCTGGGCAAAGCTTTCAGCTTTCAACTCTCCACTGATTTGCTAAACAATTACGAGTACACTCGGTGAGTACTGGCCGTATACAACAAATAGGTTGTACAAGCACTTTAGATAAGAATCTTAATAGAATTGCCGGGCGAAATGCAATCCAAACACAGATACAGATACAAAAGCAGGGAAGAGAGTTGCGACCTAATGATATTTATCAGCCATTCGTACAATTTCCATGAGGGCATCATCATATTTACAAGTTAATATTTACGCTAACAAGATTTGCCCGGCCCCACAACTAAGTTGCCGATCTGGCCACAGGCTCAATCTGTTCTGTTGTGTTCTCCTCTCTCTGGGTTCTTTTATTCGGTATCCGGAGTCCGGGATCTTGGATTCGTATTCGTATTCCCCATGCCGATTGCCCCGCACAAAAGGATCGCAATGGCACACGGCTCCGCAGATGGAGACACTTAGATATCGGGGGAGGGCGACATGAGTAGACAAGCAGAATGCTTGTTAAAGCGCACAACATGCAGATTTCATTAAAGATATCGCCGGATGGCACTGCAGCCGCTGAAGGGAGCCACTTTGCATGTGGCAGCCAGAGAGCTAAAACTGAGATGCACTGAGAGAAATACCTATAATTTGAAGTTAAGAATATACTTTAAGAAGGTATAGATACTGAGAAAAATGTCAAACTTTAAAACAACATAGTTTTTCAACCCTATTAAAACATATAGTAAAGTATGCCCATCTCAAACTATACAACTTTAGATATAGGGCTTCAAAAGATAATTGGAAAAAGACCGTATAGACTTGGCACTGTCTTTAATATTTCTAAAGTATTTCTAACAGTTAAAATAGCGCAGATTTTAATGTAGGAATTAAGCAGCTGCCGATTTCTCAACCTCATGTTAACTTTTTTCAACTGACTTACAGTTCTGGAATACATAAGTTCCTCAATATAATGTTAGGATTTACTTGATGGATAACTGTTAAGAAGAAGAAATGTTCTAGCGAAAGTTCCTCGATCTTTAACTTCATGTTAACCTCATGTTAACTTGGAGTTAACTTTTTCTGAGAAACAGCAAACAAGAACTCTAACGTGACATTGTGAAATCGGCCCTTATTGTGTTATTCCCAACACCTACACCCTTTTGTGCTCAGTGCAGGGAATCAACCGCAAACAGTGATTTCAGCGGATGTTGTTGTTGATGCAAATGTGGTGCAATATGCCTCACTGCAGATGGCGAATTTCTGACGCGAAAGTGAAGAGCAAGGAGTGTTCCCTACTGGCAGCTTCTAATGAAAGTCTCACAGGCCAACTGACTGACTGTCTGGCCTGGTCGACTGTGGCCTAATAGCTGCGGTAATAAAATGGCAATTGAGTGCCTTTATGGCCGTGTCCCATCATCCTGGCCTGGTCCACAGCCGTGGGGCATCCTTTAATGCCCCGTGGCCGGGGAGTCATAAAAATACTTGTTTACGCATGTACCAACAACTCTATACTCTATACTCCATACCCGGGGAAACTGAATCCAGGCTTGGTAATTCGCCTGCGGTATCTGCGGTTTTTGTTTTCGGCAGATCGCCTTTAGGGCTCATCTCTCGCGCCCCAGAATTGTTTATGTTTATTGTGGGCATAAGTTTGTGCTATTTTATAGTTTTATCGCTTACACATGTCGAATGCAATTTGCCGCTGGGCGGGCCAGTTTACGTTTATTGATTTTAAGTGTGAGTTTATGCGGTGCCCTGCCCGGATAAAAAGGGATATCATAAAGTAACGCCCGGCCCTTTTGGCATTCGTTCGGCATGTCAACTTCATAAGCAGCGCACGAGAATTAACGCTAGGCCCTATGGATCTCTACGGATCCCCGCCGAGATCGCTAATGAAACGGGGGTTCTGCATTCTGAAGGGGCGGTCCAGTCATAACCCAAACAAATCAGAAGATTAAAGCAGATCTTGGCCATCAAGGCACTTGTTTGGATTGGCTTTATGGTAAACTGGCGAGGAGATGAACAACAGCACAACAGGCACTTTAGAGGCCCTTTGAGTTGCAATTTAGGCATAATCAGGCTGTTAAAACCAGCTTGATCGTTGATCAGAGAGCACTTGGAAAAAAATGAGGAAAAATAGCCAATGGAAATAAATTCATTATTAATTCTTGGAATTATCTCTAACTATTATTATACTATCCAAATAAAAAAAATGTTTTTAAGATATAATTTATTAAGAAAACATCTTAAGATCCCTTAAATGAAAGTATATATTCTTCTTTCGATATCTAATAGATAGCCTCATGTAATTTGATTTTAGAGTGTGGTTACATCTGACGGATTTCTGTGAAGACTCCATGACAAACCAATTTGAATCGGTAAAGGTTTCGAGTGCGGTTTTCGAGGTGTATCCCACAATGACTGGCTCTTGTGACTCACTAACGCTGCGTATGCGTAATATTTCTTAACCGCTTTTGCTGTCTTTTCTGCACTTACTCTCGTTTCTCTTTCCAAACCGACGATTTCCGTTCTACCTGGGCAAAAAGCCAACTCTTTATCTCTCTTTGTTTACTTTTATGGCTTTTTGCAAAGTATTAGTTATCACAAATGTCGTAGCTGTTCGATTTCTTTGCAACCCGTTTAGATATATTAATGCGAATTCGATTTGGAAATGTTTGACTTTGATTTGAGTCACAGCGAGTTCACGAGAATCTTTTATTTTATTGCCCCGTAGCAGAATTATGCAGAAATCGTGTGAGCGCTTATTGAAATGCAAACAGTTGGGGAGCAACAGAAGCGACATGACATGGCAGTACATATTTGCATGAGAATTAGAAGCCAGAAACAAGAGACTTTGCAGTTTTGCGCTGGCGCAGAAATCTTGTTCGGCATGGGGCGGCCTTATAGAGGTGGTGCTGGTGGGGCATACCGAAAATAACTCGGCAGCAGCAACATCACATCGCCAGCAGCAGCAACAGCAACACACGAGCAACCTCAAACTGGCCCAGCAGCAACAGCAACACAAATGGCAACATTAGCGCAAATTTCAACGGGGCACAATTTGAATTTGAATTTTGTTTTTGTGCGACACTCTCAAACACGTTTTCTGTATATATTTATTTTGTTTTGGTTTTTTGGGCCTTTTATAATATATATATATATATATATGTGTATAGAAAAAGCCAAGCCGGAGACAAAACCGAAAAAAAGAATTCCCCCAGAGCCAATGACTTCGAAAAAACATGTGTTGATTAACATAAATGATTTCTGTGCGGCTCAAAAGCCTGTTCGTCTGCCATTTGTAAAATGTAAAAGCATTTTTGGAAATCTTTATTGCTGGTCGGTGTCAAAACGTAAATAGCAGCTGGCAAATATTTATTGACTTAATTGGCATATTTGCTTGGCGCTGCGAAAGTTTTGCTTTTGAGTTAATTAAGAAATTTGTTACATACCTTTTTCGGCTGCAATTTTCATGCAAAATGTCCCGGCGAAATGTCCAAGCTGCAAAGAGAAAGCCAAAACGAAAATAAGGTTAGTTTATTTGTCAACTAATCAAGGCAATCGTTTCGATATTTGGGCTTTTGTTTGGCTAACAAAAAATATTGGCACGCACCGCGCTATATGCTAATTTGGCGCTGTATCTTTCGCATGATAAATGCCCCGGCTAAATGCATAAATTTAAGCCAAGTTAAGCAAACAGCTGAGCAGCTGAAAGCAGGTAGTTTTTAAAGGTTGCTAGGCCAGTTTCGTTTGCCCAGCTGGACACTGAATTGACAAAAAAGTATAAAACAAAACTCGACTCGAGTCTGGGCCATAAACCAAACGCAAATCGATAATGCAATAAGGCATAAATTAGCGGGTGATGAGATCAAGATGCACAGGAAACAAATGTGATATTGGAACACACAACGCATCTCAACCATTGGAAAGAAAAAAGGTAAAAGAAGGAAAAGAGATGGTTCTAATATACAAACTTTAAAGGCTTAGGGCCTTTTGATACTCCCTCGATTTTTCTGCGACTAGATTTAGATGGAATTTATAACCCATATATTTTGCCTTCTCTATTCTTCAGCAAAACACGGAATTTTCTTAGTTTTTATTCTCAGTGTCGCTCTGAAGAACTGGCCAAATCTGTTCAGGAAGTACAAGGCCAAGACGAGTGACGTTGATTGCAAAATGTCTCATATAACTTGCAGAACAGCTTGCACAATTTTCCAACACACAACAAAACCCCCGGCGCGTCTTCTTCGTTTTCGTTTGTAGATTTTTCCATTTTTCCATTTTTTTTTAGCATTTACCATCCTTCCTTTTGCAATTCAATCAGCTGACATACGTAGCCTGCTGGCCAACGGAACGGAACCAGACGTCATTTGGAATACAAATCGCCCGATGTGGCACATCAGGTTTCGCCATGGCCGTCACTCGAACCAGTAGAATTTCTAAACTGGTTGAGCGACACAAAAGGCCGAGAGCCACTACAACATACTGCCGGTGGCTAAGACTCAGTGCGAACAATGCATCTCGAATCGTATACTAAATGTATAACAAATTCCGGTAGGTGCGGGCTGTTTTTACTTTCAAATGCCTGGCATATTTGCTGATTTACACAGCACATGGATGGAAAATAAAACCCCTGAGCTCTGGCCAATTTGCGTGTGTTAATTGAGACTAACTGCCCCAGTAGACGGCGGCCCTAGTGCTTTGATTAATTATAGACAGGCCGTCATAATTTACGACTGTTGGCTTTGCATGACAGAATGCAATAAAAATAGAAAAAAAAGAGAGATACATTGGGAATATGTTACACAACATTGCGCATCTGAAAATGAAAGCCTCATCTCTTGGCTCAAAATTTGTGTTGTGTTTTTCTAACCCAGAAAGAAAGAAAGCAAACCACTCGAAGAGTTGACAAATCATCGCCAGATTTACTTTTCAAGAATTAATCCTGCAAATCTGCCGACTCATGGCCTAATCAAAAGTAAGAGTTACCCAAAATTGTTCATCAGCAATGAAAATAATACAAAACATTGAGGCGAATTAACCCATATTTTGCCCAGAGATGAACGCGAGCTTAACCCCAGTGAAAAAAGAGTGGAGAGCTTGCGTGCCTAAAGCCTATTGATCGAACTGATCGAACAGCAAATGGCAGTTGCAACTACTGACACACCTTTGGCCATAAAAAGATATATATATATATATATGGACAGGTAGGTATAGTATATAGAAAAACCGAAACCAACTTGCAACTGTTGCAATAATGAGCAACTGCCAAAAGGGAGATAAGGCTGTGTGGGTGCCACCGAGCCACCGAACCACCTGCATTTTCCATTTTCATTCTCCATTTGATGCCGCCTGATTCGCAATTCGCCAATTTGAAAGCCTGCCAATCAGCTGGCAAACAATGAACAACTGCCAACTCCGCGAGCCCAGCGTGCGACTGCCAAAATATTGCATTGTGTGCACACGATTTCGTTATGCATTTCAAATGCAAATTGGTTTTGAAAGGTAATTGATCCCCGGGCTCCGCGCCAGTCAATGACAGAATAATTCTCCGATTGCGACTTTCAAATGCGGCGCAGGAAATACAACGTTTGAGAAACCGAAAAACAAAAACACCGAAAAATAAAAGAGACCCACAAGAGATTTGTGAACTGATTTCGTATGCTGCCAGCAAACACAACGAAATCATGGAAATTAAATAAACTCCGCACGATCCCAGGCACATTTATAACTTTGAACTTGACAGCCGCTGACTAGATGCCACTAAAATATACGAAGGCACATACAGTGGGACCTCCCTAGTGGCGGAATCTTTGGTTCACAGAACAAATGTTGAACTACATTTTCGAAATACTTCATATTATAGTTGGTTCTTCTTTGTTTATTACTCCTTTTGTAATAAACACCACTTTAATCTTCTGAGATTCCACTCCATTTTATCTCATATTCTATGTTGTATCCTTTACTTTAAACCCCTTTTGTATTATATTATTTTTGATAAACCCTTTTGAAATTGCATTTCTAACGTTTTAAAGATGGAATACCTTGAGAAATATTTAGTTTAATCATGAGCAATAACAATTAATCCCCTTTAAATCACCAAAACTCTAAATTACCTTAGCCCTACTGTACCCAAAGCCCTATATCTAGTTCTATCCGACTTTCTTTGATATGACAGCGTTAATTGAATTTCATTTTCATTCACATTTCCCTTCATCGTTTTTGGGGCGAGCCGAATATCTCTAATCGGGCTGAATGGTTCATTGGCGATGCAGGGAAGCGTTACAAATTAACCCAGTTATTTATGATTATTTCGTTTTAAATTTGGGTATTAAAAATGATTTAGCCGCCTTGACAATTGGTGCGCTCGATTGCGTTTGGGAGATGCAACTTCTGCCGCTGCCAGATCTTGTAAATTGCATAATCGCCCAGCTGGACCGGGCTTGCATAGTATCTGTATCTGTATCTGTGTCTTCTAGCCGGGCCTAAAACGTGTTCAGAGCCAACTGCTCCATTTTTAGCCCCTCTTCCACTCGTAATTGCCATGGCAATTTGCAATTGTGCGGCTCTGGTTCTGGCAGATTGATGCCTTAGTTTGATAATGGCCAATGTCGAGGCATGCAATTTTAACGGTTGCGCGGTGTCAGAAAGAACGAAGAGATCTTCAGATGTTCAGGGGTTTTGGGATCGGTCTTTCGGAGATGATAATTCCCGGTAGCCGAAAACAAAGGGCAACAAACTGGCAACTGCAACTGTGTCAAGTGAGTCACACGAAGACAAAGATGATCCCGATTCCAATCCCGATTCTTGTTCTCGTTCTTATTTTCCCCCCATTAAAATATCATCAGTCACGTGCTCTGTTAGCCATCCTCTTTTTGCCATGGCAACTCTCTATTGTCTGAATCGGGGGCCCCGGTAAAAAATGCATTTAAAAAACGACACAGGTGACAGAAAATTAGCAAAAACAAAGTGTTATGTGCGACAGCTGAAAGAGCGACAATTAGGCGCATTTTGTGTGTGTTTCGTATTTTTTTCCCATTTTGTGTGCGCTGTCTGTCTGCCAGTTTGTGGCTATTGCATTGAATTCCCCCAAAACCGAAAATTGTGCAATAACAATTTGCGCTGCACAAAAATGCGCGAGCAGCTTGGCCAGCAAAAAAAAAGAAAAACAAAAAATCCGAAAACTGAGACAAGTTGCGTGGTGGCTTTTGTTTTGGCACACTGCTAGAAAAGACATTGAACTAAAAACTTCCATGATTGAAATTAATTTCTCAATTAAGTTGACATTTATCAAATTTAATTCCAAAAAGAAACCTTGTTTTAAACCATTTTAATTATATCTTTTAATATGTATACTATTTTTCAAGGAACAAAAGTAGCTTGACTTAAAAAAGTCGAAAGAGACCCACATATATTTATAAGAAAAGTATTCCCAATTAAAACATAATATATATTTACAAAATCCCCTACCCCCTTTTTCCCAGTGCACTTGCATTGTGGTTGGGGTGTGGTGCTGCAATTGTTTTGGTCTGGGCATAATATTCGAGCCATCGAAAATGTTTCACACAGTTCATTAAGCGAAACAAATAAATAAATAGAGTTTAATTGTGCAATCGTCGATAGAAATTGTCAACGCTGGCAATGCAATCGAACCATAAATGGACAAAAGCTTTGGTATGGGGGGTGTTAATAGTCCCCAAAGCCTAATGAAGGTTAATGGACAGCATGGAACGGCATAAAAACGTGAAATTACCCAAAAAAAAAAATGGAAACAGTGGAAAATTGTCAAAAACTTTTTCATTACTTGAGGAGCAGGGGGCATAAATCATGCAAAATGTACAGTTAATAAAACGATCGAATTTCATTAATTGTAAATTAAGCCCGTAACCGAAAACGCACATGAGAAAGAGACAGCGCCATCGGGGTGAGAGTGGGTGAGCGATAGGCGGGGGAAGGCATGGTTTTTGAAATGGTTTCCAGTTGTTTTTCCCTGGCTTTAGCCTGGTCTGGTGTTTTTCTTCTGGGGACGAGCCACGACAACCACGCGGAAAATGTGCGACAAGGCGACGACGACTCTGCGATGGCGACAACTGCATGCCAAGGAAAAGCGGCTGCCACCGATACAGAAACAGAAACAGACTTGGGCTGGGATTGGGATGATGATCGCTGCGGCATGGGTTTCTACAGGCAGGAAAAATATGTAGAAAGTTAAAAAAAAAATATTTGGAGTGTCATTTTTCTACCTATCTTGACATATCAATTGTTGCTTAAAAGATGACACGATTGAAAATTCCAGAAAAAGATAATTTAGCTTTCAAACAGACTTGAAATTCAAAATATCTCTAAAAAACACCCTCAACCGACGAGCTTAGCCGGTATCATGGTAATTGACTAATATGCCTACGGTACAAATAGTTATACAGAACTTTTGAATGTTAAGATTAACTTTTTCTGATGATTACCTACTTCAATTAAAATCTCCATATTTCTCTCAGTGCATT